ACCGTAGCCATCAGCAAGGAATCCACAGAATGGAAAGGCGGCGATTTGACCAAGGTTGTAGATAATGAAGATGATGCCAGTGCTGGATCCCTCGCCAGTCAACCCGAAGGTGTTCTGGTAGGCTTTCATCGCGTTGATGGATCCCATGAGGGAGCTGTCGAAGCCGTTGAGCGTAGAGACTAGGTAGCCAACGCCCATGATCATGTACAGCTGAATCATGCCTCGAGACCATAGCTTCGGCTTCTCTGCCTCGATAGCAGCGGCTGTATGCTGTCAGCGCATTCTTCCCGTTGTCTCAGATATGATATTGACTTACTAAGAGCTACTGAAGCTACGTTGGCCTCCTTGACGTTCGCATGCTTGTTCATGTCGTCGTCAACTGCACTCAGCTGGTGCGTCACAGCGCCCATGTCTTCACTCTTCTCCGCCATCTTGAATGTGTCGCTGGCAAGGACTGGAGAAGATCTGGAGGTGTGGAGCAGAAAAACGGGAAAGCTCTCCACTTGATGGCCGATTTGCAACGATGCGCAAGCTTTCCGGAATACTGGGTCTCTTTATACTATACAGGCTTCTCCGCAAAATAAGTAGCGCCTGCAGGTAATCTTACCCCATGGCACCGAGGCAAATGCTCTACCTTCCTGACCCGATGCATGGTTTCTGCTCTGCATGCAAACTGTTGCGCTCAGGCGCCACCCGGTTGGCCAAGTATGCTTGTTGTACGGCAATAGCACCGCATTAGGGGCGGAATATTAGCGGGATTACTGGGAAATTTTCAACTTCCAAGCTCGCTATACCACGATGGTACCAAGGCCAAGTAATAGGGCCTTCTGCAGGGGCGGGCCCAGGTCCAGAAGCAGGCCGGTTAGCGGACGGACCTCCCAAATTGTACCAGCTCTGGAGCGCCACGCGCGAAGTCTTTACGAAGGAGATGAATCAAGAATTGAGCCGGTCGGGTTGGCATTGAGTCGCGATGAACCAGGCGAGGGTTAATGTGGTGTAGCTGGGCTGGGCAGCGGAGTGCGGGGATGGATTCCTGGAGTAAAGCCAGCCGAGTTGGGCAGCCGCCCCGTTGATCAGACCCCTTGGAAAGAGAAACCAGACACCTACCTCTGCGAATACAGTCGTAAGAAAGTTAATACTCCTGAGGTGCCTCTATGTGTTATAGAAACGCGTTCGGAAATCATCACAAGCTGTAAAGCGCCTGTCCAAAGATTTCCAAGGTTCCTTTCAACGGAGTCGGAGTTTCAAGCGAAGAACCCCCGCTCGCGCTTGCGCCCGGACGTCGCCCCATCAACCCCCCGATGCGAGCCCTCCCCAGCTCCTACATGCAACATGCGCCGTTTATTGCCGACACGTTCCTTAGTCCTGCCACCTGAGAAGCAGATGGAACGCCCTCTTGGCATCTACGACATGTGGGCGGACGGCTTCCCTGATCAGTCCAAGTCGCGCTGCCTACCGCAGTACGGCCGCCTTACTGTGGGGTGTCGACAACTGTATCAAAGATAGAGGACGTAGAGCAGTGGTTCGTGGAAGTACCATCAACTTTCAATTCATCCATCATGTCTTCAGGTCAACACCCAGCGAGCGTTCCCGACTGGAACAACCTCGATGTCCTCCACAAGAACACGCTGCCTGCGCGCGCATACTTTCACAACTACGCATCGGAGGCTGATGCGCTTAGTTCCGATGTGAACAAGTCTACAACCCACAGCCTCTCCGGCACGTGGAAGTTCCAGCATTCATACTCGCCTTTTGAGGCTCCGGAAGGATTTGAATCCACTACATTCGACACATCATCATGGAGCGACATTGCCGTGCCAGGCATGTGGCAGCTGCAGGGCTTCGGCAAAGGCCCGCAATATACCAACGTAATCTATCACATTCCGGTTGATCCTCCCAACGTGCCTTTTACCGAGAACGAGACTGGATCCTACGTTCGTAAGTTCAAGGTCCCGAAAGATATCCAGGGCGGTCAGCTTCGACTCCGTTTCGAAGGTGTTGACGCCGCCTTCCACGTCTGGGTAAATGGTAAAGAAGTTGGCTATTCTCAGGGTAGCAGAAACCCAGATGAGTTTGATATTACTTCGTTCGTCGATCTCAATGCTGAGAACACCCTGGCTGTTAGGGTGTATCAGCATTGCGACGGAACGTACATCGAAGACCAAGACCAGTGGTGGCTGAGTGGCATGTGAGTGTGGTCTGTCGTCGAGATGAACTGAAACTCATCATCCTAGATTCCGTGACGTCTTCCTGGTTGGCTTCCCCAAGGCTTCCCGAATCGAGAACGTCTTTGCCCAGACGCTTCTGGATTCATCCTACACTGATGCCGAACTCAAAGTCAAGATCAGTGCGACTGGCTCTGGCAAGGTTGCAGTAAAGCTGCTGGATGCAAAGAAGCAGGAAGTCGCCTCATCTGAGGCGGATATCAAGGGTGATGGTGTGACTGAACTCAGTATCCAGGTCAAGGACCCGCTCAAGTGGACTGCTGAGTCGCCAAACCTCTACCATCTTGTCGTCTCTTCCGGCGATCAAGTCATTGCCCAACGCATTGGCTTCAGACAAGTCGAGATGAAAGATGGCTTGATCAAAGTCAATGGTAAGAGGGTCGTTTTCCGCGGCGTCAACCGCCATGAACATCATCCCACTCTTGGTCGTGCTGTGCCGTATGAGTTCATGAAAGAAGATCTTCTTCTCATGAAGCGTCACAACATCAACGCCATCCGCACATCCCATCAGCTCAACGACCCACGACTGTATGATCTCGCAGACGAGATGGGTTTCTGGGTCATTGATGAAGCAGATGTGGAATGCCATGGGTTCGAAAGTATCGCCGATGCCGCGCTTTCGAAGGAGGAGCGCAACTTGCCGTTCCGTGAGCGTCAGCTTATAACTAGGGACAAGGCCGCGGAATGGACGACCGACAACCCAGACTGGACGAAGGCGTATGTGGACCGTGCGGAAGCACTCGTTAAGAGAGACCAGATGCATCCATCGATCATCATTTGGTCTCTTGGCAACGAGGGCTTCATGGGACGAAACTTCGTGGCCATGTACGAGCACATCAAGAAGTACGACGACAGCCGGCCTATTCACTACGAAGCGGACATTTACGCAGACACTATGGATATGTACTCCAGGATGTATCCCCCGCTTGATGAGATTATCAAGTTTGGTCAAGACAAGGAAAAGAAGAAGCCACTGGTGCTTTGTGAATACGTAAGTTACACCATGTTGATGCTTAGTTCTATGACTCACCGTATTAGATCCACGCCATGGGCAACGGCCCCGGTAACATCAAAGAGTACATCGATGCCTTCTACAAGTACCCAACTTTACAGGGAGGTTTCGCTTGGGAATGGGCGAACCACGGTCTTCTCACCAAGGACAAGCAGACCGGCGAAGAATTCTACGCTTATGGTGGTGATTTCGGCGAAGAGGTTCACGACTCCACCTTCGTCATGGACGGTCTTGTCAACTCCGATCATTCGCCCAACGCTGGTTTAATCGAGTACAAGAAGGCTATCGAGCCTGTACAGCTTCTAGAAGTGAATGGTTCAAAGGCCACGTTCATCAACCGTTACGATTTCATTACGCTCGATCACTTGGTCTGCAAATACACATCAGTCTCCTCTTCATCCTCTGATGGGGTTACTGGAGATCTGCAAATTCCTTCTGGTATCTTGCCTGGCCAAACCTTCGAGGTGCAACTTCCAACGATCGAAGCTCGCGAGGAGGAGGTCTTGGTTAGTATCTCGTTCCAGCTGAAGGAGACTACACCATACCTAAAGGCAGGATTCGAGATCGCAACAGCACAGGTACCTGTGACTCCGGTGTCGTCCTTGAAGAAGCCTCAGTCATCAGGCAAGCAAGTCACTGTTGAGACACCATCCCGCAACACCCTCAAGATTACGACGGATCAAGCCACCTGGGAGTTCAACACGCTCCACGGCAGTCTCACCTCCTGGAAGCAAGGCTCGACTGAGCTCATCTCCAAAGCACCTGAAATGGACATCTTCCGCGCTCCTACCGACAACGACATCCCGCAAGACGGCTGGGACTGGAAGGACAAGCAACTCCACCACGCAAAGCCATTGACCCGCAAAGTCGAGTGGTCACAATCAGGCTCGGACACTTTCAAGGTCACCGTGCACCAACGCGTCGCACCTCCCGTCCTTTCATGGTCGATCGACTGCGTTCTCACATACACATTCAGCGCCAACGGCACCCTATCCGTCCACGTCACCGGCACACCCAAGGGCGAGAACCTACCCCGCACCTTCCCCCGCATCGGCCTCGTCCTGGAACTCCCCGCGCAATTCCAACACGTCGAATGGTTCGGCCGCGGCTTCGGCGAAACCTACCGCGACAGCAAGCTCTCCCAGCCCGTAGGCAAGTACACAGCCTCCAGCATCGACGCCCTCTGGGTCGACTACGAAGTACCCCAAGAATCGGCGAACCGCACAGATATCCGTTATGTTAGTGTTACTAACGGTAGCGGCGCGGGATTGCTCGCTCAGTTCGCGGATAAGAAGGGTGATCAAAGGAAGTTGTTTGATTTCCAGGTTAGCCATTATAGGATGAAGGATGTTGCGGCTGCGGACCATCCGCATGAGTTGAGGAGGAAGAAGAGGGAGGAGGTTGTGCTGAGGTTGGATGCGGAACATCATGGGCTGGGTAGTGGCAGCTGTGGGCCGAGGACGCTGGATGAGTATAGTTTGCTGTGTGAGCCTTTTGAGTTTGAGGTTGTGTTGCAGGCACCGTAGATAGGTGCGGTAGTTATGCAGTAAATGCTATGACCGTTCACTCACCAGATTCCGGGTTCGACTTTCCGATGTCGCGCGTTTATGGTGGTGGGTCGCGGTAACCTTGCGGACGTCGTTCCACGTGCACTCCGCTCTTGCTCTCACCTTCACCTATCGCGACTGCCAGATTTTTCCGCCCAGTCCACCACCTCACAATCTCAGCACCACTCGACGTGCAATCTCATCAAGGCTAGTATCATGGCCAGTGGAACGAAGAAGCGACGAGTAAGTGTTAACGCAACTGCATCGGCTTTTGCCTGTCACGATGACACCGCTGCACTTCAGTCGCGACCCAGCTAACATTCGACAGAAGTCGCAGTCTCCAGCCCGCGGTACCACTTCAAAGCGCGCACGCGTGGCTTCATCCGGTACCTCGAATCGCACCCAACACCACGAACATGATTCGCACTCGTCGCGCGCCGGATCCGTCAAGGACACATACCTGGCGCAGAAGCAGGGCCGGCCAGTATCACTACCCACTGGAGACGACTGGGTGTTCCGTGTGAAAGTTATTTCGTCCGCGACCGACCTGGGGAATGATCTGTTCAAGAACGCAGTACAAGGGCTGGTAAGGATCTGTTTCCCCGAGGGTATCCTCGATCAACTGGGACCGCAGGTACTGGAGCAGCATATGCGCGAAGAGAAGGCACCTGAACGAAACATCGAGCGGATGTCAGAAATCTTCCAATCCGAGATGGAGCAGCGCATGGCCTCCATGCTTGCTGAGCATCTAGACACAGCTGCCAAAATCGACTCGGTTATGAGAACTGTGTTGTCTGCCAGCGCCAGAGCTCATGGAGATAAACTTGGAGAGGACATCTTGGGTTATGTCACCGATAGCCTACTCAAGCTGAAGGCAAAAGCATCTGAACACTCGACAGAATGGTTAGCCTCCGGTGATGCAGCAGCAACAGAAGAAGAAGAGGAGGGCAGTAGTGATGGAGGGAGCAGCACCAGCGATATCTCTGACAAAGAGCCTACGCCACCGCCAAAGGTGAAGAAACTCAAGAAGCGAGATAGGAAATCACGACGCGCGCGCTCGAAGACACCGGATGACATCCTAGAAGACGTTGAAGTGGATAACAACGTACCGGCGACACTGCCTAAGCAACACACATCGAATAACAAAGACCGAAAGATCTCTTCTACGTGGCAATGGCATGTTGACACGGCAGAGCTCGCGGACGAAGGCGTGGCCGAGGCCTTTCCACGCACGAGCGACCTGTTTGCGTATCACGCGTTACCGATTTCTCAACGCAAGCTTGGATCCAGTGCATCAAAGAAAGAGATCAGATGTGAGATGCAGTCGCTCCTCGATGGGATGCCCAAAGAGGAGTTTGAGAAGTGGGTCGAGAGTTTGCAAAAGCTACTCGATGGTGATCGCGATATGTTAAAGCGACAAGAGTCACAATCTTCTGGTCATAAGCAGCAGTTGAGTCGCGTAACGCCGGCGCCTATTGATACACGGAGACAGGCTAGGAAAATCACGAAGACGCTGTTAGATGTTCCAGGTCCATCGAAACCACGCACGGATAAGGTTCAAAAGTCTCATGAGAGAACTGTGGTCAAGGACGAAACTACTGACAGCTCAGATGAGATATCAGATGAACCAAACGATGAGAATATCGCGGAGGCTACAGCTGCACTCCGTCACCCACTGACCAAGGGACGCGACATCCCCCCACCTGCGCACACACCACAGACAGCTTTGGTACAGAGTAGTAGAGGCCTTACGAGTCGTGGAGATGTCGATGGAGTAGGTCCACTAAATTCACATGGGTTCCAAACTTCCATGCTAATCTATCAAGTCTTTTGGTATGCCTGTGTTGGCCTTATTGTGGGGATCAGACAACTTGACCGTTGAGGAATGCGTCAAGGACGGGGCAAAGATCACATCTACCATTATGAATCAGCTCGAACGCCGTGTCTCTGTCAAGGTAATAGCCTTGATCATACATACGGTATCTACGGCTGACAACATCTAGCGCATTGCTGTCAGCAGCTTCGGTGGTATAGGCCAGTTTCGCACGCAAGACGAACTGCGTGAGCACATAATGCGTGCCTTCCCAGCGCCTGGAGAACCTGTAAGGTTTCTGCGGATCAAGAAAGGTATTGAAGGCAACCTAGTCCCCTGGGTCATTGCAGAGCCATCCGCGTTTCCGGAGCTGAAAGGCATGCCGTTTGTCTTTGCTCATGTACTTCCAGTAAGCCCGTAAAGATTGCACTCTTTCAAATATCGCGACTGATCATTGATATAGTCTCTACCTATTACCGTCAACCTACTCTTCGGTACCTTTGATGCCTTATCACGATTGAAAGCATCCGAGTTGTGGGAGGCTGTATTACAGGCTCTCCAACGAAGAGGGATCTCAGAGGTACGTCAGTCCATCGGCTGCCACGGCCAAGCCAACATCTAACAATCTGCCAGGCATCCATAGGCGCTGTCGATGTCGACTTCTTACAGCTGGAGAGTCTCACCGACACTAGCAGATATCCGTTTGCAAAACGGCGGTCTCTGCTTGAACGCATTTTACGTCGTGTGATCTTCCCACACAAAGAGAAATTCCCGGAGCTGAAATCTTCATCGGTTGTCAAGACATGGGAACAGATGACCAATCTGAGCTGGTAGCTGCGGTATTGTATTGAGCTCAGGTAGCCACCTAGCATGGTGTCATTGCGACTGATTCATTACTCTCAGATTGAAGACTTGATAGTCAGTTACGTACCTACGTGATGCATGAAACCAGCCCAAAGTTCGCTTCAATTTGCGACAAAACTATTCAAAGATTACCCCAAAGGCCTTCCCTACAATGTAATCCAAAGAAATCGCAGCCAAATTGAGCATTCAAGCTAGCGCGACCAGACCTTACGAGCGTTCATCGCCCTATGTGCGTGTGACACCAACCACGCACGGCAAATCAACACTCTGGTACCTCTCAAATTGCTTACATTGTAAACGTCGTAGATGCACTCGTCTTAGAAACGCCAAAATTTAGTCCAGAGAAGTGACGGCACGATAAGGCCCGAAAGCGTTGGAGAAGGGTAGATGTGGGGTCTTCCAAGGTTCTCCGCAATGTGGGGAACGACACCTTCACATACGCCCACTAGCGCATCGGCACCCATGTCTTCACCCAGCCGAGAAGGCTTGTTCCTGCAGGATACATTAATAGAGAAATGTGATAGGGATCTAGATCACCTCCTCGCAAAACACTTCCAACACCTTCACAATGACGCCTTCACCAATGTACATCGATCCGGAATATCAGTCCACACATTTCAACCTCTTTAAAGACTCTATTACTGTTCCGCTGAAGTCGGTACTGCCGCCTGGTGTTGATCGAGATGCATTTGACAAGGCAATCGCGAAATACAAGGGTGCTGTTGGTGATGCGCAGGTGTATTCAGGTGATGCATTGACCGAGTACATCGATCCGTACGAGCTGCACGAGGCGGAAGGAACTCGAAAGATGCCGAGTGCAGCCGTACGACCAAAGAACATCGAGGAACTACGAGACGTGTTGAAGATTTCGAACGACTTTGGCATTCCAGTATGGACGTTCTCACGAGGAAAGAATCTCGGGTCAGTACATTCCCACGTACAAACCAGCTACAAGCCATCTAACCACCGAACAGATACGGCGGACCAGCCCCTCGCGTAACCGGCTGCGTAGCCCTCGATCTCCACCGCATGGACAAGATCATAGAAGTAAACTCCGAATACGCCTACGCCGTCGTCGAGCCAGGCGTCACATTCACCGATCTCTACGACTACTGCGTCAAGAACAAGCTCAACGTCTGGCCTTCCGTGCCCTCTCTCGGATGGGGCTCAGTCATCGGAAACACAATTGATCGCGGCACAGGCTTCACACCCACAGGGACGCACCACCAACACATCGCTGGCGTGGAAGCCATGCTGGCAAACGGCGAGCTCGTCCGCACAGGCCAATTCGCCATGTCCAACTCGCCATCCGCACACCTCTCCAAGTTCTCATTCGGACCCAGTATCGAAGGCCTGTTCCTGCAGTCCAACCTCGGTATCGTGACTAAACTAGGTATCTGGCTCACACCCGCACCCCAAGCCTTCATGTCCTGCTCATTCGACATGCCGGATTTCGAAGACGTGGAGACGATTGTCGATATCTTCGGGCCGTTGCGACGCGACGGGCTGCTTCCCAACACTGTCTATGTGTCCAATGTGACGGAGTGGCTGGGCATGATGGGCCCGAGAGAAGACTTCTGGCCACACGATACTTCGATACCGGATTGGAGGATCAAGGAGTTGCAGAAGCAGTTTGATCTGGGTTATTGGAACGCCAAGTTCGGCCTGTATGGCGCGAAGGATGTGATTCAAGCGCATTTCGACGAGCTGAAGAAGATTATTGGGAAGAAAGCGCCGAAGGGTCGGTTGGTTGGGAAGATCTTTTCTGCACCGGATGGAGAGACGTTGGATCCTACGTCTGTTCCTGAGATGGATGGTGGGTTCTTCGTTGGTATACCGACGCTCTGGTCGCTTCCTATGGTGAAGTTCCGCCTGCCAAAGTCCGGAGGTGGCATTGGTGCGCACTACGACTACAGCCCTATCATACCTTCCAAAGGGAAAGAGATTCTGGACTGGGTCAGGACGGCGAAGAAGATCTGCGAGAAAGATAACTTTGATCTGTTCTGTGACTTCTTTATGCATGAGCGTCATGGTAAGATCGGACTCTTAAGCGGTGGATGATGACATATACTGATTTTAGTGCCTCTATCTAGTCATCTTCGTCAACATGTTCACGTTTGACAAGACAAACGCGACGCATCGGAAAGCGGTGCAGAACATCTTTGATGGCCTGTTCGAGGCGGGTAAGAAGAGGGGATACAGCAAGTATCGCAGCCATGTCAACACCATGGGTATGTCTTATCTTCAGCCTCGAGATTACCTGTCAGCCGCTAACTTCTTGCCCAGATCGTGTCGCGTCATTGTACGACTTCAACGATCATGCGTATCGAAGATTCGTCGAGACGATCAAAGACGCTGTCGATCCTAATGGTATACTGTCGCCTGGTAAGCAGGGTATCTGGCCAAAACGGTTCCGAGGGGATGAGGTATCAAAGGCGCATCTATGAGGCGCAGTATTGGTGTGGATGTCGAAGGAGGAAGCGCAGAAATGGATATGTACATTATTGCTTGGACTTGAAGATAGAAGCCTCCAAATGCATGAGTGCAGGCGTCTCAGCTGGCCAGCTTGGTCCAGTATTCAACGTGTCATTATGACACGTCGTGGTGTTGCCCTGGAATTGCGCTCATCATTCAGCTGATTCAGCGAGATGGGGTCGACAACGAAACATAGACGAGGGCAAGACCATAGCAGCCGAATGCGTGTTTAGGCTCGAAGCCCGATCAATGGGAGCTGCCTTAGGAAATCGTCAAGGCACAGCGTCCACTGCACATCGAAGCTCGGATCGTCACAACAACCAGCACAGAGTATGAACTGAAGAAAGATGTATGTCCAATTATAGTCCTACACATCCACAGAAGAATATGGGTAGGGTGGAGAAGACACGGCTCTGCTAAAAACCAATATTAATCTCCCACAGAGAGAAAAGTTGCTTCCTGGCCATGAAGACGAGCCAGGGAGCAGGCAAGAGTGGGGTAGTAGCATACAACGCGCACAGCAGCGACGACTCCCAGAACGAAAAACATTGAATCATTCGGTGTCGAGCACGTGCCGCAAGCTGTGCACCGCGAGGTTGTTGATGAGCAGAAGAACGAGCCAGAGCTTGGTTTTACGTGTTGAAGAATTAGCCCGCTCGGACCCTCCGTCTTTGTCAGCATCGCTTGGCGCTGCCCGCGCGCCTGAAAAGCTCGTCGCAGCTCGGCCTCAGCTTTCCTTCCATATTCACAAAATCACAATGGACGATTAATCAACGGCTATACTGAGCTCTTCATCTCTATAGTTGTCATATTTGCGTCACTAGAACAATACCTGGCACTTTTAGGCTTTTTGCTACGATTTCTATGTTGCTTGAAGCCACCTGCGTGACCATACATTCCTATGAACAGTGCTGAGAGTGTTGAATGTGCTCTTTTGTGTGTGCTTTGCGTATGCTCGTGTGCTTTTGACTAGGTGGGAAGATTCCTTCTCTAGAGTACCGGAGAGCTGAGGACGGCAATGTCTGTCAGCCTTGGATCGTATCTGCGGCAACGAAGACGGCGGCCTCGGCCTTACCAAAACCAGATCGGCAGCGTCTACGAGTCGCGCCACCAAGCCTGCACGTCGTTCATGCGCTGTCGTAAGCTGTTCCACGCCCATCGGGTTGGGAGGTCGATGATGTACTTTTGGGCGGAGGGCAGCAAGCTCAGACAGGGGCGTGATGCCGTATATAGACCAAAAACGCAGGGTTCTGGAGCTTGTGCGGATGCCATGTGTGAAGTGGAACGGATGCATTACTCGTCATCGCGCGTGTCAACTAAGGGCCCTACGAGCTCCCCTTTCTGTGCTCATGTTTTGCTTTGCGATGGACTTGTTCATTCTCTGGTAATCTTAGCTACGCGCCCTCTTGCCGTCCGTCCTGCCCCCTTTCCCCGCGCGTATTGCTCTCGTGCACGTTCTGCCGCTCCCCGATCTTCAACCTCCGCCCGAACCGCTTCCTCCTTCCAGACTGGACGACATGGCGTCGGCTCTGAACAAACGCCAGCAGGCGCGTAATGAGCGTGCGCTGCAGGATCTCATCAAGACGGTCCCTGGAAACGGGACATGCGCCGACTGTGGCGCGCGGAATCCAGGTACGTAGTGCAGGCGCATCCCGTTGGGCTCTCAGATGCTAACCAGGTCATGCAGGATGGGCAAGCTGGAGTGTAAGTCTACCCATACCACGAAGCGAAACCGCACCCCTCTACGAACCGATCCTCCTTCGACCGTAAGCCCAAACTGACGTCTGCTGTAGCTGGGCATCTTCCTGTGCATGCGATGCGCGGCCCTACACCGGAAACTGGGAACACACATCTCCAAGGTCAAGTCCTTGAGTATGGACAAGTGGGACAATGCGCAAGTAGACGTAAGACTTGTTAAGCCGCGGTTCATACCGGATTGCTGACACCCGTGTAGAACATGAAGCGCATTGGCAATCTCGAGTCGAACAAGACGTATAACCCGCGCAACGTCAAGCCCTCCATACCCATCGACATCGACGAAGTAGACAGCGCCATGGAGAGATATATACGGGCAAAATACGAGCAGAGAATATACTTGGATGCTTCGCGACCGGGCACGCGACAGAACACAGGCAGCACGAGCTCTGAGGACCGGCCACCGCCATTACCGCCGAAGCCCACCGGCCGCTTTGGATTTGGACTGCGAAAAGCCTCCACCACACGGGATCTCACTCCTCCGCTGTCGCCAGGTCTGGGAGGGTTCAGTCAACACGACCAGTCGCCGCCACGCATCAACAAGCCTTCCAGAGTATTTGGCTCCAACATACACACTTCGGGCGATGGCTTGGATTCGAAGCTTACAACTCTTCGGGATATGGGCTTCCCAGACGACAAGCGCAACGCCACGGTGTTGAAGGGGCTGAATGGGAATCTGGACCGGGCAGTGGAGGCTCTGATTCGACTTGGAGAGCAGGATCCCGGCCGATCGAGAGGAA